GTTTAGTGTAAAAATCAAAACGCAGTTTCGGATAATGTAGCGAAACGCGCGAACCAAACGGTACGGCGTATAAGCTGTCCCAAACGAACCCTAAATGACGATCATTGGACAACATTTGTTGGGCAATGATTCTGAGTGGCAATCATCAAAAAGAGCTTTAGGATTATTCAAATTGCTAAGCTCTATGCAATTGTAGTTCAATTTCATATAAAGAATAAGTTCCATTTGTAATTTTTTTGGAATAGCATTATGATTATTTTAGTCTCAAACCCTTCCTCATATGGATTGTGTTAATTAATGTAGCTCAATTATTAAATATTTAAATATCTTAATGGTATCATAATATAATGATCTTGAGCTCATTTGATGTATTTTATCAAGATTGTTATTTTTTACTATACGTGTTAATGGTTCAATTGTTAGATTCTTTAGATATTACTATGAAATTTTAAAGTAAACTTTAATTAAATTATTTAAGTACATTTGCCCGTCGTTCCGGTGCGAGGCCGAGGTACCTACCTTCCGTCGTGTAGGCGTTGAGCCCGCCCAGGGGTCTCAAGGGGCTCCAGATATAGCACGTGAGACCAATGTACCTGAGTCTATTTCCATGCCTATTGCTAGAGTTGTTGTAACGACTCTGTCAGTACCACATGTTGTAACCACTTCTTTTAAGAGAAATAAAAGAAAATTTTGTTGATTTATTACTATTCTTCCTTAAGTGGAAATAAGTTAGATGTTTATTTTGCTCAAAAGGAGAAATTTGGGGCATACCCCTGTCGATACTCTCCTAATTTATTAAAAAGAAAGTGCATAAGAAATGACTATTATCCAATCTTGCCAAAGAGGCAATGGGTTTGTAAGGCTCCTGCAACTGCATCTCTTGCAGCTCCAGCTCTAACTTCGGAGGTTGTGGATTTGATCTTGGAGAAAGTTATCCTTTCTGCTGATCACATCTTGGAGTCGTCTCGGGCTAACCCCGAGGTTGAGCCAGAGTTCGATCTTGAGGATGACTTATCTGGGGATTTTTCTGATATACCAGAGTAGCTCTTCGAGGAGAAAGACCTCCTTGGTGAGGAGTTATGTGACTTTGAGATGGAAACTCACCATGTTATGATGTTGACCACTCGTGATCAAAGATCTACCATTGATAGGCCCACGCTTGGTCTCGACGACGCTGAACATCATGAGCCTGCAGAGGTTCAAGATGTCCACACAATGTATCAAGGGATCCAAATCAAGGATGAACTTATCACTATCCTTCCGGGCCAGATAACCCTTCTTACTGCCCAAGTGGCGGCTCTTCAAGTCGACCGGGCTGGGTCCAACACAATCTCACCTCTGACGCATGCAGAGACACGTCCGATAATACCCACGTACCACCTGTGTTGACGAGGCACATACACACGATCATTTTTTGACTAAGATACTTTTGAATACTTGAACTTGTTAGATTATAGTAGGGGCATTTACATGCATTGCCACCCAATTCTTTTGTATTTACTTACCCAACGCCTAAACTTTACTTTTATGTAAAGCCAAAATCTCAAGATTTTTCCTCCAATTACTATAAAGTATTATGTAAATAGTGGAATAATTTCATAGCAATTAAAAGAATTAAAGGGTGCTTTGAGATTAACAGTATGTTTCTCTTCTGTTTATCTTTTCTTAAACTAAATTGTGATATTTTTTCCTTATAAAGATATTTAAATTAAGAGTATATTTTATTTTGAAGATCATTTACATGTTTTTAAGGTTTTCTTAGGATGAATAAAAAGATAAATTTATTTTTCAAAAAAAAAAAATTACAAAAAATATTAAAAATTTTAAATTTGGGTTATCTTTCAACGAACATTTCTCTCCATTAAAGAACTCTCCAATTGACAATGAAGCTCATAAAGTCAATCACCGTCCAACAAAAGCCAACTTGAAGCAAAAACATTCGATATCATAATCTTAGAGTGTGATTTTGGCATTCAAAGCTCTATTTGGAGCTATGTCCCTCATCAAAGAGATGAAGTTAGGTTATATTGGATATTAGGATCATATCAATCGACTCCTCTAAATACTCCTGATTATATTGATTGGCATGATAGTCGTTTTCTCCCCTCATTGTATAATTTATTTCTAGATTGTGTAGAATTTTCTTTGAAAATAAATCGTGCATATTGTCTTCAATGTTTTCTTTTTGCAAAGCCATAAGAATGCCATGGATCTAATGTTTTTTTGGTTGAGGAATTTCATGTTTGGAATAACAATGGTGATAAATGCTCATTCATAAAGGGCGTACTGTAGCTAAAGATTCAAATTCCACACATGAATAGAATGTGAGAAGGTTGTCATAATATGATGAATTCATTACAACATATTGATAAAAAATTTCAAAAAAAATATTTTTAGCAAGTTGTAAGAAGTCGGCTTCAATTCAAAGTATATAAAAATTTCAAAAAAAATATTTTTAGCAAGTTGTAAAAAATCGACTTCAATTCAAAGTATATTTTATGTATTTATGTATTTATGAATACATGTATATGAATTTATATTTTATGTAAATAAATATATTAATGAATACATTGTTATATATGTATATATTAATAAGATATAAGTTCAAATTTTAAAATTAGATTCCTTCCCTTCATAGTGGTCTCATAAATGGTAATTAAAATGAATATGACATGAACCATTATACATACATATATATGCTTTAATTATGCTTCCACATATGTATATATATGTATATATATATATATATAT